CATGCTGTCCCATGGTCGCCGATTTATGCGTAACGTAAGAACGGCACTATCTCCACTTTGTTACGCAAAAGCATACCTTGGCACTGGGGTTCTAGGCAGCGAAATATCTTCAAGAGGGCTAGACAGGTACTTACTTCGCTTCCAAACTTAGCGTGTTGTGATTCCAATAACAACTCATCCATCAGTTGGACGCGTCCGCTTGGGAGGTCGAGGCTGTCCCGTGCCACCGCAAAAACGGTGGTTCGTTACGGAATAAAGCACTCGCATCACGCACTCTACGAACATGGATGAAGAACTATTCACAACTGGATATAGAAGACTTGGCTCCAATCTTCGCGGTAAAGAAGTTTCGCCCCCCACCTTTGGGCGAATATCTTCGAGCTGCGCAAGGATCACAAACTCTTACGATCGTTATTGTTGAAAACCAAGGGCATTCAATAGTTGGCATCAACCAGAATGTAAAGATGGGCTGCAACTCTGAGTGCTAACGGTCAAAAGCATTCGGATGTAGTTCGTCGCACTTTCCACTCATGCAGGCAGATTACTGCACATCTGGAAAAGCACCAGACAGCTGCTTTGACCCTCCGGGTCTCGTCAGTGGTGCGCGTTCCTCGGACTCCTGGCAGGTTCCGACCCCAGGACTTCCGGATACGACCAGCTTGAGCCACTAGGCCAGAGGTAAAGACGGTCGACCTGCATGACCGATGGTTGACTACGATATATCACGGCTCATTATCCACCGCCATGCTAGTTACAATTTGCGCCGAAGAGATTTGCTGGCCCCAGTTACCACGTTCCGCATAGCGACTATGCATGACACACAACGTGGAGGTGGTGCGGACTGATTTTTCATTACTTATGTATGGTGAGGAATTGGGTGTACGTTTACATGAAGTTCGTCGCAGTCCTCTGTCAGGCAGGCAGATTTCCACAAGACTGAATAAGGACCAGAGAGCTGTTGAGATCCACCGGGTTTCTGTCGTACACAGTCGCTGTGCAGAAATTTGGAGCTCTGAAGCTAAGTGCCGTCCCTACCGCAGTTCGTAGCTGGGATATCAGTGGAGGATGAGCCGTGCTATATCGTAGTCAACAAGCAGTCATGCAAGTCCGCGGCCGTTGCCCGTGGCTTAGTGGCACAAGCTGCTAGCATCCGGAAGTCAAGGGATTGGAACTTGTCTGGAGTCCGAGGAAGATGCACCACTGACAAGACCCAGAAGGTCGAAACAGCTGCCAGGTGCTTTTCCTGACGAGTGCGAACCTGCCTGACTGATAGGGTACTGCGGCGAACTACATATAAAATTACACCCAATCCACACTAGCCATTACTATTTACAAGATTGATTGCATTAAGTGCCACAGCAACAGCACAGACGATACGTTGAGATTTCGGTCGATTAGTGAAACTGCATACGAAGACAATCTTTTGTTTGAGCTGGTTAATTTAACGCAAGATTTAGACACAACGTCGATATGAAGTGCAACAATCCGTTAATAGACGGACCGAGACCAAGTACTATCAATGTTAAAAATCTTTTCGACGGTGGGTTGGCTCTTTGAAGGAATAGTTTATTTAAAACTGTTCATAATGCGCAGGAACGAAGTAAGTTTATTTAACCGCTATGTTTTCTGTGGTTCTCAGCTAGTTCCTCTTGTTAAAGCACGTTTATACATCCTAAAGGAACTACATGATGTTCATCCAAGTGTGGCAAGACTGAAAGCTGTAGCAAGTGGGTACTGCTGGCGGCCCAAGACCGAGGCAGACCTAAAAAATGTTATTAAGGAATTGCGATCTTTGTCAGACTTATGAAGGTAACAGAACACTTGCTACAGTGCACCTCTGGGGTTGGCCCGAAAAACCATGGTAGCGGATTCAGGCTGACTTCTTCGGACTGATTAACGGGACAAGGTTTCTTCTACTTATTAATGCACATTCCAAGTGAATTTATATACATGCAGTTGCCTAAGCGACAACGGAAGCCAACAGTACCAAAATGCGCTCTTCATTTGTTACCATTACCATTCCGAAAATTTATACACAGACAACGGTACACCTTCATCAGTGCTGAGTGCAATGAATTTGTCACTAATAACGGAACCAAGCACATTAAATCGGTCCCGCAGCACCAAGCCTCAAACGGCCTAGCAGAATGTGCCGTATAAACTGTAAAGCAAGGCTTACAAAAGCAACGAGCGGAACCTTACAAACAAGACTGGATCGCTTTCTAGTCGCCTACCTTTCCACGCCTATTGAGATTACGGGTACATCCCCGGCAGAAATCTTGGGATGAGGATTCACAAGTGACTCCTCAACCCGAGGGCTGGAGTAGAGGGGCGACAGAAGATATCTGTGTCCTTAGACGAGTCAAAGACCGATTTTACATTCAAGGAAGACCAACCAGTTTATACCCAGTTACCACCTGAACAGTGTTGGCAACCGTAATCATTACGACAGGGAGACGAAATGATTTGGAGGATCCGGTCGGGCGAATCGTCTGCTAACACTCGGACCACGTACGCACCAGAGGTACAGACACACCAGCCGAAGCGTACTGTGGTACAGAACAAGTAGCAGGGTGTAAAGGATTTACACCTACAAATGTGACAGTATTATTGCGCTCGAGCCACATACGCAAAGCTATCAAACTTTGCTAACCAGGATTGTGAAGCTAGCTACGACAGCGAGGGATTTCACGCGTGCACTTAACGATCGTTGCTTAAGCTCCTTTTGCACTGATTAGTCTTTTACACACACACACACACAAGCATGTGTGCACATCCCAATACATAGCTTCATTCCCAGAAACTTGTAATACGTCGGATGTTGGGTATACTGTCCGTCGTTCAACGCCGCGTTCTACCCCCTTGGCTAAGGGACGAGATAAGTACTACAAGGAGGGAGAGGTGACAGAATCGAAAATTGTACTGACAACCAGGTATGTGTACTAAACTAACGGCACTGGTTGACTACGAGGGCTGAAAATCGTAGACTTACATCTATTTCAGATTGCAAAGAATGGGCTGGCTCTCATTCATGATTGCCTATGAAACCAGCAGATTCGAAAGTAGTCCGTCCAACGGCATGTTTCCATGGTACTGCGAAATTCAGGGTGCTCTTATAACCAATCGATAACAGAAATTCAGCTAAAAAAGCATTGTCACTTCGTCAACAGGCTAAGGCTAGTGTGGATAGGCATCAGACTCCGGTGTTGCGACCTTCTGGGTCTCCTCAGTGGTGCGCCTCCCAGAAGACCCCTTCCGGGTCCCACCCCATGAATTCTGGATGCCAGCAACTAGCGTCACTTCGCCATGGGTGACAGCGGCGGACCTGCGTGATTGACAGTTGACTATGATATAGCGCGTCTCATCCTCCACTGCCATCCCAGTCACGAACTGTGCAGAGGACAGCGGCTAGTCTCACGAGCTAGGGCTTTCCGCATAGCACGCACGAGGACTTAAAGCATGCAGTTAGATATTTAATTATTATATATATTACTCATGGGTAATGAGGGGTTTGGAAGAAACTAAGCCTGCTGATATGGAGTGACAATGAAGAATTACCTGATTTATACCAAAGTCATCACTATTAGTAAGTAATATATAAATAAATAAACATTTATTCTCGGCTATGCGAGGCATGCCCGAGAGGGCATGATCAAATAAGTGCAATTATACAGACATGTCATGGCAATTGTAACAGTGACAATCGGAGATTGTTCATACGTTCCTATTTGAAACTGTACAAATAGGACAGAAATAAAAATGAAGAAAGCCCATTGTCATGAGTTCGGGCACGTTCATGTGGGCACAGTCGGTCTGACATAAAGTGCAGTAACAATTCAGGCAGGAATAGATCAAGAACTAGAACTGATCAATTAGAAAAGAGCTAGTGAAGCACGCTCAATCGCGATTACACGATACGCTGGGTTCATGTGATTGTAGCGTAAAGAACAAAGGTGAATGCGCAGAAAAAGACGTGGCGACGAAATATGCAGATAAGAAAGTGTCGGGGCGTATTCAGCATGGTAATATATAATAATGGTCAGCTTGTCCGTGTGAGCTTATTGGCTGTGGCTTTATTCAGTGGCGAGTCACCTCCGCCACGTCGCAGTGTTGTTAAACGGACTTTTGTGACTTTTTATAGGGAGAACGCTTGCCAAGCGAAAACCCACCACGTCCTGGTACACTGCCAACGAAAAGCAGTCCGTATAGGTTTCAAGTGCTCGTTCCGAGCAAATGGGCTATGCGGAGTGCCCTAGCTCGTGAGGCTAGCCACTGTCCTCATGCACAGTTAGCAACTGGCATGGCAGTGGCAGATGAGCCAGGCTATATCATAGTCAATTACGCAGATCCGCAGCTGTCACCCATGGCGAAGTGACGCTAGATGCTGGCATCCAGAATTCATGGGGCGGAACCCGGCAGAGGTTCGTTGGGAGGCGCACAATTGACGAGACCCAGAAGGTCGGAACGTCGGCGTCTGCTGCTTCTCCACAGTAACGTAAGCCTGCTGATGCAGAGTGACAAAGATGAGTTGCCTGAAGTATACCAAAATTCTCACTACTCATGAGTAAGATATATAACACAAGTGTTCATGTGTTTTGCCCTGAAAACTTGGACGTTTTTGTCTCAGGATTTGAGGACACATCACTGCGTACTTAAAAACAAGACATTGCATATCTGCCCCATTCATGCAGCCGTATAGGGGTTCGGCGTTAATATTGGCAAGTTCTGGCTTTGGCTACCCTTGCTGTGCAAATAGCTATATAAATAAATGCACATCGTTTTCCTGTTCGAGTGCTTCAGTGAAAATTAGCAAAGATCCAGAAGCATAGACTATTCGGTATAAAACAAATAAAGTACATTTAGATGCATATCCATTCAAAAAAGCACGGTCCTTGGCAGTGGGAACAAGGTGAAATCCAACCCGAGCTCGTTAATATCGCACTTTACAGATAACTGTGTCAGCTTTAACACCGTCATAACATCAGAACCTCAACACGGTTTGAAAATCATTTGGACGGGGGCGGTGGAAAAAGCCGAAGTCTCAAACCTGGCGTAAGAAAAGCAGGATAACGAGATAAACGGATAAGACAAATTAACAATAATAGAAGTAATAACGTTACAGCACATATATGTACATAATCTTGTCAGAGTACAGTAAAAAATGGACATTAGGATAAAATTTCGCAGTGAGTGGGCTTGCAATCGTTGGGTAGGAATTTCGTGTCAGGTCGTAGTTGACTGTCCGTTAAGCATTCGCTTGCCAGGTTTTCTCACCCAACAAAGCTGTGTAAATAAACAAAGATTAGTTGTTAATCGGTGAACGTGTTTACAGGCAGGTGCAATAGTACAAGAACCACACTAGAGGGGATATGAGAAGCATTTATGAAAACTGCTGGAGCAGAAAATTGCCACTATGTTTCTGAAATAGACAAGCATAAGATGAAGGAATGCCCCTCATTTAAATAGTCCGGGTGCAATGTGTCGGAGAATGTCCAACAAAGAGGGAACCAATCTGATCTCATTGTGACGATGTTCCTGTGAGGAAGCAAACACAGTTAATCGCTTGTGGTACATGGGGTTTTCTATGTACCAATCAGTATGTAGTCCTTGAAAAGGCGAGTCTGTTTCGCAGTATCCAGGTTGACGGAAGAATCGACGCGTTTCATTTCGATCCTCATTATTCCGCACGTTTACTAGAGGTGAGGAATACTAGTTAGCATGTCAAAATAGGTCGCAAAAAAGGCAAAAATCGGAACAAATCAAATGACAATATGCACCGTTTCCATTATATGTCGGAAGTGAGATCGTTGAAGGAAGGACATATTAAGCGGGAGTGACACATGGTAACACAAAAAGAAGTCGCTTAGGTCGATTGTTTGCCAACCATAGGTGCACATCGACTTTCAGGAGGAATCAAAACTAGGTAAGTTTCGAACTGAGAGCGTCCACTCCTCTTGAGCAAGTCATCGACTGGCTTTCTCTTCAGGTCGCGCAAGTGAAACACGTCCCGGAGTCGGTGTACTGACATGCGTACCACATGTCTCAGCCATCGGAGCCTAGTTCGTGAAATAATGATGCTGGGCAATCCATCTGCTCTTGCTGCGCCACAAACAAGGCGTCGAAAACGCTGGTTGCTCATGCGGCGTTCTCGTAAGAGATGAGTCAAACTGAGAAGACAACAGTGATAGAATACGAGTAGCCTCTTACCAAGTCTGACGATCTGATGGGTCAGATTCCGCAAACGTAAACTAGGGCTGAACGGGCGATGGCATAGTAGATTACCCTTCGGCGCGCCAGTAGTCTCACAATGAGGCTTAAAAAGTGCGATAGTTTGTGCGCCTCAATGACCTATTGGGTTGAACTGGATGGCGCTTTGTGCACTTTCAGAGGCACCTATACCAGGTTGATCAGTGGTTAGAGGCCAAACAAGATCAATCCCTTGGTCGTTTGGGTTAAGCCGGTAAGCGAATGGCGCTTTAGTTCTTAAGATGGGCATCATGTAGCCCGCTACTAATCTCCCGTTGCCTTATGGGCGGCTCCAAAATACCTAACGGTGCGACTTTAATTAACCGCCTAAAGCAATTGAATTGAATCGATTTGTGGCATTCTATACAGGCTGTCATAGAGGTTACTCCGCTCAATACTTTGTGACCAAAACGATTTTTAAACCAATAAAAAAACACTAAAAGTGGTGACCATAATAATTTCTGAGTAAAATCCTATATAGACATTGAGCACTTCTATTTTGATTCAAACGACAAAGTCATCAAGCTACAGCTGTGTATTTCTTGCAAGGTGATGCAGGATTGTTACACAGCAGTGTAGAGTAGCTCTTGTTTGCATTTCATCACCAGGATGAAATTCGGGTTCACATGTAAATGATCAAAAAGTGCACCCGGAAGGGGTCATCAAACGCATAGCTAATTTCCTAGCTTCAGGACGAATATGTTCGACAGTGAAGCAAGAAGTGAAGGTGCGATATTTGGCCTTTAATGGAACACATATCCACTTAACCGAAAAAGCCGATAACGTATAGGGCAGAGTTCATTTTCAGAAGTACAAAAATCGGCCGAAATGGGCAAGTAATTTTCTGGAAAAATGCCGACATCTTTGGTTGCAACCTGAAATTATTGCGTTTTGACGTACTGCAGGATAGACCCTTCTGCACCTAGATGTGTTTAAAAGCTGATAACCTAAAAGCCATCTACCCATTTATGCGGGATTGTCACTGGTAACCGTCCCATAGTCTTCTGAACCGGTAGTCTCCTCAGCAGTAGCTAAGCATGATTGAGTAGTGTTCACTTAACTGAGAGGATAAAGGCTAAGCTGGTCAGTTGCGTTCCTGTTCGAATGGAGCCATGTTGATATGAACGAGCAAGCAGACCCGATTTGGAAACGGTACAATAATTAATTAATCAAATAACGTTCCCAAATCCCAGGAATACACTAGACGGTCGTTTCCATATGTTTGGTCTCATTAGCAGTGCGCATTCATCGAATCTATCATGATCTGAACCTATAACCAGTGGCGGCTTGTAGCGCCAGATTGAAGCTTATGCCACTGAGCCTTGGAGAGCAAAAGCAGATTGTCATGATTGAAAAGCTGTGACATAACACGTCTCATTTTCCTGATGGAGTCAATCGATGTGCTTTACTGATGAGACCCGATAGATCCGAACAGCCGTCTAGTGCTTTTCAGATATTTTTGGAGAACCATCTGATTTAAAAGCTGCTGCGACGAACTTTCAATCACTTACCTCGAAAATCCCTAACTCATGAGAACAAGAATAGCAATTAGCAGATCTCAGTGCACCAAAGCTCTACACACAACCGTCCAGCAGAAAACAATCGGGTATGTCCATAGTTTGTGGTTAAAGTCAAATACGTATGTATCGGTTTAAAAGTTGCACTAACAGCTGAAAATAAGCGTATATTTATACTTACGTTGGTGTCCAGGAGCAGGAGGTCGGATGGTCATGTCAATCCAACTGGAAGACAAAAACACAGCAATCGTTTTGATATGACAAAAAGTACTGAACTGTGTACGGCACAGTGCGCAGAATCGAGAAAAGGGTAACGGAGAAATATGAAACGTGTTGACAACTATTGAGCTGAGGCGAACATCATAGACACATTTCAATGCTACATTTGAAAATCCATCAGCGTGATACAGGTTGAAGCAATGTAAGAACTCATTGCCAAAACGGAATGATTAATCCGAACTTCCAATTCATTGGTAACTGTATATAAGTGATTTCGTTGACTGACCAATCACGCGGGGTTTTACCACATCGGTGGATGAGGAGCCTTTAAATTCGGCTGTGGCGGTTTCTTGTGGAAAACTCCATTGCATTACCGACTGAGGATTTTCAGCTTTATGTGAACCTTTGATACAGCTTGTTTTTCCAAATGTTTATCAAGTTCAGTCATGTTGTCCTACTCCGCCCACCTCATCAAGTACACCACGCTTTCATCAGCTCAAGTGTAACCGTGACTTTTGGCCAAGGCGATGTTCTCAAGGGACTCAAAAAAACAAAGTCACACAAAGATAGTGGTCCGGGTGCTCGCTCACCAATGTGTTTGTGCTGCCAATCGGGACGTGGTGCGTAATTCCAACTAAATGATGGTCACCACGATGCAGCATTCGAGCAAATGAAGTTTACTGCGTTCACCTAATTGAGGCACGTAGATCAGTCATTTAAAAATGGAATGCATGGTGTGCAAGACACGATGAAGCACATGTCTGCACCAGATGGCATCCGATTTGCGCTAACCATTACTACATTATTTCCGAATAGACCCTCGCACTCGGTTAATTGATCGATTCATCCTAGGATCAGCCATATCAGGTGAAGTTCGATCATTGTCGGTAAAAACGTAGTGTTTCTTGTATATAATCATACGTGGTGAAATAGAAAAGCCGGCTGAGGGGTTCGCTAAATAGATGACCCTATAGCTCCATTCATTTAATCGCACGTTCTCTTATTGAGTATCCTCGATTCAGAAAATGTTTGCTGTCTTGGTATATCTCAGCTCTGTGGATTTTAAGTTGACCCTAAAAGCAACCTGCGAGTGTCCCCGAAACAAGAAAGTTTACCGATCCTCACTTATAGAGTATAGATTGAAAACAACAAAGAAAACGTGCTGTGTGTCTTTGAAACGTAACGTCTTCCTTTATAACGATGCAATGACGAATGTTGAACGTACATGCAGTGGCGTAACAACTGCTCCTGCTACCTGAGATTGACGTAGGTTTTTCGCCCTATCACTGGCGGTTGTGAATCCGTAAGCCTTCACAATATCGAACAGCCCTACAACATTTTGTTTTATAAAAGAACAATCAAATGCATAATTTTAGAGTTCTGCAGTGTTGTTACAATACACGTGTATAAATTTAATAACACACTTTTCACGCTTTACTTAAGGCAATATTACCGATAGCTCTAACAAAATTTAATCAATCGGTAGATTCCTCGCTATGGGAAGAACTGCCAAGCTAGTGAGCAGGGTCTGGTGCATTGTTGATCGAAAGTATTTCTCTATAAGCCTGCGTTTTGAGAAAGAGCGTTCACAGTCGGTATTGTTAATAGCTCGGGTAAGAAGGAGGCGCAGCAAGGTCACAATATTCGCTGCAGATTCCCAAAAGTGATATTTATGTATGAAGTTCATAAGGTCAAGAGGTAACCTAATATGGTCTTTTCCTGGAGCTTTCAAAAAATATAAATTTCCTCAGCCCGGCAAAGTGGTCTTTCTATGTGTTTGTCTTGAATTCGCTAGGTGGACAACCATAGCTATATTAAAGCAGATTTGACGGTGAAAGGTGAGCATTTTTGTTTGCAGGGTCAGGGATTTGCTTAAATTTCTGACATATTTCATCAGCCAAACTGCTTATGACAGACAGCATCTCTCGTTTATATTTAGCATCCAATCCTATCGATGTATCAACTAATTTTTCAACATCCATTCGTTTCCCTTGGTGAATTCGACGTTCCATGCTTATCCCCAATTAAGAGAAGTTTTTAAATTCATCCATCGCATTATCAACCATTTTCTCCCTATTCTGAAGACGAACTTATTACGTTGTGCGTTTGACCGCAAGTTGTTGCCGATCCAGCCCTATTGTTGGAAGATATATGAATGAACCATTGATTTCTTGGTGAACAGATCTCCAAAGGCTAAAATACGACACAGACAGAAACGACAGTACCGCGATGAGCATACACCATTCAAGTTCGCAATCTTTGTTCTGCGTTTTGTGAATTCCGGAAAACTATTCTTTTGTTAGATTGCTAACTACACCGTTTGTATTCGATCCAGGTCGCGTTACTTCTTTCAATTCATAATCGAGGTGTCGCACGTCAGTAGATCCCAGCCGAACAAACATAGTACGAACTTCATGGTCATATTTAACAGGCCATAGACCGAAATCCGTAAAATCGTTTAACGTGCGAGTTATCTTGCCCGGTTGTGATGGCCTTTCCAATTCTGCCTCAGAAGTACAGACATTTCCTGTTGCAGCAATGCTGTCAATATCGCTTGCTGCTGTCCGAGTACCATCATTTCCGGTGTAAAAGTTACCTTCGGTATCCGCATGATCATCGCCTTTCGTTTTTGCCACTTCGATCGTGGAAGTAACTTTGATGAGGGTTAATAATGCGACTTCATTCTTCTTTGTCCCCTCTCTTTTTGGCCTTCCTATATTGAGCCATATAGCCCGTGGCATTTGCGTGGGCGCTGTACAACGCCTTATGAGCGAAAACGCATTAAGTTCACGGATAATTGCTATGGGACACGATACTTACCTGGACAGATGTACGCAAAGGCGATAAGGAGCAGTCAAAGAGAAGGTGTGGCACATTCGCGAACGTTTTTGGTTATCCAGAGCAGTATTTCAATATTCAATAATCGGTTTCTATGGAAATTTCACCGTTTAAACATGGTATCAAACAGGCGTGTGTACTAAAAATGTCGCCCGCTGCCATCTGCCGCCCAGGGCGGATCGTCCCGTACCACATTCATGCTACGCCTCTGCGTACATGGTATTAAAGTTGCCTCAGAGGTTCAACTGAATGCGGTAAATACAATGACTAACGACATGATAGCTGTTGTGTATGAAAGACAAATGTACGAACCGAACTAAGAGGGTCGCTCCGGCAAACAAACAACTGTAATCTGAAAAGTGTCTAACTAGGTGCGTACATTGAGGCGTCGCAAGGAGAAGGATAAACAAATAAATAAATAAAATGTTGATCCTCGACTAAGCGAGGCACGCCTGCACAAGCATGATCATGGTAAGAGTACAAAATGTGATCAGTTAATGTACAATGGGATTGTCGCATACGTTGAAATATAAATGCATGAAAGTGTGCATGTAGGCGTGTTTAGCTGTGTTTGTGAGATCTGTAAATGTTTTCCTGCCCTTTTGATCGCGCTTGAACATTTTGCCAGTGTTAAATGGATGCTTGATGTTTGTGGACTTGAAGAGGTTGTTCGGGTAAGCAAGGAGGTGACTTTAGTTGGTGGTGATTCACTACCGCCACGTCACAGTGTTGTTAGACGGACATTCGTGGCTTTTTATAGGGAGAGCGCTTGCCAGGCGAAAACCCACCACGTCCTGGAACACTGCCGCCGAACTGTTTGCTGGGACGGGGTAAACCCGAACTACCCAGCTGGCACCACGAGGAGGTTGTTCGGCTAGCCCGAGAAATATGCACTTATGTGTGTATGTCTGGAGTTGTGTGTACGCGTCGGTCTAGATAAGCCGTCAAGCATGCTGACCGTATACACAACAATATCTATGTATTTTCTGCTGACCATACGGATAAGCTGCTTCTATTAAACAATCTGAATAGACCCACTTCCCAGATAAGAAGAAAAAAGGCCTTGACAAAACCTATATTAAGTACCCGACAAGCCGTGTGGATAGCAAAAGATGGGACAACATATATACTACATGAGGGAGTGGCCTAGATGAAAGTTCCTGGATTGCATCAACTAGAAATGTGCCCGTTGACTGCACAAAGAATGCGCTCACCGACAGACTTCAACGTAGATTCTTCTCATTGGTAGGCATCAATGTGAATCGTTCGCATTGGCTAGCCAGTTAGCCTCAGACAGTGTCAAACCAAACCTCTCCGGTTTCTTATCGAAGGGACAGGATCTGAAGGCTGAAATGGGCGGGTTCCCATAGCAGCTACCCTCAGTATACAATTCGGATTTTGTCCAAAAGGCGTTGTAAGGCTTATGTGATCTGATCCCCTCTGGACAGTTGAAGTTCGTCGATTTGGGCACTACAGTACCGTGGAAGCCCCATAGCACTTCATAACTCAGTACAGTTGGGAAAGTTTGGCTTCTCTCTTGTCCGCTATATACACAGGCAGAGAAAGAAAGAAATATCGACGCGTCGTATCTATAAAACAGCGAGCGTTTTTACACGGGTTGACATCAGCATTGCGCCGGTACGTAGTACCGACGCTTCGTTACCGCGCAACCACCACCAGTCGCACGCAGCGTAAGGATATTGCGATGGTCACCCTGCCACTAAAGAGACTAGAATACGCGCCGTCAGGTTGCAAGACGAGCTCGTTACCTATAGGCTACGGGCTACGGGTCGGAGTGTTTTCGGAATGTACAAAACTGGGCATCCGTGTAGACCCAAACCCCGGAGTGCAGGGATTGCAGCTTAGGCGATGGGACCAACGCACCCCGGACCCATCAACGTCTGACTGACAGAGCCGAGTAATGCACAAACCACAGTATTACCAGCATTTTATAATATTCAGTGTTTCGGTGTTTTTATACTGGTTACTGCAGAAACTCACAATATATAGGAAATAAGCTATGATGATAAGCTAGCAACGGTATAGCCCTGCAACATTTCACGAGTATGTTGTAAGTAGCCAAAACTAGGCACAAGTTTGAAAACGCCCACGAGCTGTTTTGCAGAACATTGACAGAAAAGAGTAAGGATGTGATCAGTTGTGCTACACTTAACAAGAGCGAATCACGTCATTCGTATTTTAGAGTGTATCGCTACCATATAGGAAATAAACGAGTTAAACTGAATACCGCGAAAATGCAGCGAGTACGGTAACCTCAGTGCAGCTAAATCTAATATTTTTCAGGCAAACCTACCCATTATGATGGTGGTTATTCTCGAAATCCGAAGTCGATAAAGCGCGAGTCCAGGAGTCTCTTAAACTCCGGCACCGGCTTTGCTTCGGCTATGTCTGCATGCAGGTTGTTTCAAATATTCACCATCCACCGCACGAAGCAGTGTTGGTGAGCGACCCGCTCCAAATCCGGTACGACAAGCTTGTACCGGTGTCTTCGTGTGATGCTTGGCGTGAGCAAATAAAGCAGCGGCCTCAACATGCGGTAATCACCCAGATGCAATATCCCGTGCGTCATGATGTAGTCAAGCCGCATTCGACGAAAAGTATAATCCTAGTCTCTTGCACTGGTCTTCACATGGCACATCTCGTAAACCGGGGATTAGTCTTGTGGCAACATGCAGTACCTGCTCAATCCTTTGTACCTCGTCCAGGGTGAGCGGACAGTAGGCGGGTGAGCTGTACTCTAGCATTGGTCTGATGGTAAAAGAGAAAAGGCGGTTGGCAACCTCTTCGGACCAAGTACAGAAGCCGCATTTGAGTGCCCAGAGCATGCGCAGTTCGGTTTGGTAAAGCCTGTTCGTGTTTTCAACGGATTTCAACTCGTAGCCTGAGAGTGCGCCGAGATCTTTTACCGATGGCGATGGGTGTAACTGTTTGCCGGCCAGATTGTAGACTTGGCCAATACTACCCTTGCCCACGATCATGAATAAGGAGTTGACCGGGTTGATCGGAAGCTTGACTTTGCTGACCACATGGAGAGGCGGTCAAGGTCACGCTGAAGCAGGTCGCAATCGTTGGACGCCTCAGCTATCCTCCATACCTTAAGGTCGTCTGCAAATAACGCGCAAGATGAACTGAGAAGCTGAGGCAGATCGTTACTGTGACGCAGGAACAAAATGGGCCCAAGGACTATGCCCTGCGGGACGCCACTGCTCGAGGGATTCCACTCGGTCGGGTGGTTGTCCACCTGCAGACTCCACGTCCGACTACTAAGGAAGTCACTGATCTACTGGTACAGTGGGCCAATAACATAATGAGGAACTCTCAGATATCAAAAACACAGGACCGGAATTCAAATTCATGTAACGGGGACTTCAACACAAAGGTCTGAAGAGGTTTTGAACAGTTTGCTCGAGGCTGTGACGAATTTCATGCGACATGCATGGTATGAATTTCCGTCAAATTACCCAGGGAGTCTAAACAGCGAAGACTGATGATGGAGCAAACTGTTGTGTGGAAACCACATCAAAATGCCTCAAGCCGAGAAGTAATTTCACAAGTAATTTGCAAACTGGTCCCAGTGAATCGTTTTGAGTCGTACCTCCAGTGTACGCACACCCTAATGCCAATGCCGTCACGTCAAAATAGTTGTTCAGGGGATACGTAGTACTTGGTTTGTATGGCCTATATCCCACGTACGGTGTATACGTACCTAAGTCATGTACAACTTAGGAATTTGTGTCGAAGAGCTTGTTCCATTATGAACTGTCCTAATGGAAGTAGCATGAAAAGAAGAACAGATGCTTTTAGCGACAACCAGACATGTCGACATACAAAAGAAAGCAAACACAAATACTGAGCTACGGATTTAGACTGGTTACGTTTCTATCAGGTTTTCCACCGTCAGCCTGATCGATGCAGCTCATTTCATGCTTCAGTGGACTCAGTTAAATGAAGAAAGTTTGATAAGCGGCTGATGACGTTTAAATAACGAAACCACAAGGGATGTATGGGAAGAAGATAGAAATGGGCCGGTGTTTCTATGACTCACGTCTGTTCTTCTTGTTTGCTTTTCGCTTTGTGCCTCCGTAACACAAAGACGATCATGGTGACAATGAGGACGAGGCCCAAGAAGGAAACTGTTGAGAAAATAAATCGGTGTATGGCACGAGAAATAGCGACGGTTCGCAGTCGCGGTAGGAAAACGGACACAGTTGAAAAGGGAGATAACCTTGTAGAAGACGGTAGTCAAACCAACAAGTGACATTGAAATAAAACTCGTGAAATTTGTAATACGGTGTTGCAAAATGATTGACAATAGAAAATTTAGGATACTTAGATGCACGGGGTAGAAAACAAGTTGAATGCGGATTTAAAAATAAGAAAATTTTGAAAGCCGAGACGGTCATACAATTAGGATTCATGGGATTGGATAAGTCGGCGAGGAAAATGTTTCAATTAGTACATATGCTGTACTTAGGAGCTTCAACCGCGAGTTAAAGGAATTCAGTATTAGTCAGATACACATTTCACTTAAAATTTGGATGATACTATAGCGTCATTGACGGCGTTGGAAAAATACATCACACAACAAGGTTTGACAAACAAAGTTCGAGTCACGAGAGCAAAATATGACGAACTCACCCACTAGGATTATTGCAAATAGGGGTATCGGGATACCATTAATCCGACCAGTACCTGTGGAACATAAAGTGGTAGAAGCCGAATAAATACATTAATAAGACTAATGTACAATGGTGCCTTGGGCGTAACATTGTGAAAGCATTCAATGTCTCATTGAATGGTTGGTTGAAGGTCTACAAAAAAACAAGCCACTGTGGTGGCAGCTGGTAGATTGGGTGGACGAAATAGACGGAGGAGTAGTGAATTGTAGGCCGATCGGACGCTGCTCACACGAGCTTACCACAAGTGTACAGAGAAGAGGAGCATGACAAAATCCACTCGGTCTTGAACGAGCTACTGCCATTGAAATTTCCTGTGAGTGAGGCGGATTGACTCGCTCATATTGAGCTGATGACAAGTGCGTGCAAACGAATCCAGCCCAACGACAGTGGGTGTAATGATTTCCGGCCAACCAAGCGAGCAAAGGCGACGCGGGCTAAATGGAAACAAAGCGAAGTTAGTGCCGCCTACACAAGCTAACGACGACTGAATGGGCTAGACCATGGGTGATCAAACTACAGTCCACAAACTCAATACATCCGGCTCGCTGACTGTACCCAAATTCGCTGTGATACAATTGACATTTGACACTGCATGTCGTATTGCCGACGACCTACACACTGAGCATTTGGCGATCCAGCTCTGACTGTTACATGTGACAAGGTTCTATCGGTGGAACACTGATGTCAACGATCGTGCATGAAACCCATTCAGCTTACCGTGTTTCCTTTTACCTCACACACATCTCCAGCAAATTCCGGTTGATTACCACGCTTGACGCGCCAGCTCCTGGGTCATTTGGAATAATTCTCTCTACCTTCTCTCTATCTTCTAGAAGTGTACGCAATATATGATCATTCGAACCGGATTTACCAGCTCTACACAGTGATTCATCATACGTGGCGTTATCATTTACCATTAAAGTTCTAATCCACACTAACAGATTTAACTGTTATCCGTGATTAAGTACAAGCGGATAACTCATTCGCTTTGTGACGATTGCCCTTCTGTGTTACCTCATTCGGTACAGAATTCTCGAGGCGGTCCGAACAGCCTAAGCTTATTCAAATCCGGTTTTTCTCAACGCAGCTGTGAAGGAATTCGTAATCGCTCCGTCTGTTTCCAGCATCCTGGTTGGATTTATTTACTAGGCCCCAAACCAGCAGGGCCTGACATCGATCGATCAGCTGAACAACACTGAAACGCGTGTTAACAAGGCAGCACTGGTGACAACGAGCTCGTCACGCTGACTCACGCTTATCGTTGACGCAGGCAGCTGCACTAACTGATCAGCCAACAAACGCGTGACCCAAAAACTGCAGGCCCTTTTCGAACAGGTCTCATGTGTGAGGTATGTGTTAAAGTGGTGAAGAGTGGGCTACTGTGCAGCAATTGCTTGGACACCCAGCATCCTACGTGCCTTGGGATGGGCCGATAAAAACGAGGGGGCACAACAACACGACAGAGGCGTTTTGGTTCTGCCCAGTATGTAATACTATCCCAGTTGTAGCTGTTTAACTATGCTAGTGAAGAAGTGTGAAAGATTAACAGAAACAGTCAAACAACTGTTGAGCGCCAAAGTTGCACCTATGGGAGGAAACGGACCTGCAATTGTATGCGAAAATAACCCGAAGTACCCATTCAGGCCGAAGAAGAGAGCCAGGCGCCCCAAAGTTACCCCAAGGACTCAGTCTCAATCAGCACCAACTCCCTTCTCTCTCTCCCATAAGTAAAATCATTTCCGCATGCCCGCTTCAACTTCTCTACAGTGCTACATCTGGTAGTTTGTTCGCTATACAGCCGCAACCTGATGAGTCCAAACCATGACGAAACCGCGATCGTGGTGTGCCAGGGTTGGGAAGAGCAACACCATAATATTGCCATTCAAGGCTGTGGCTTTCAGGACCTTCTCCTCGAGTCGACCTGCAATTTTCTATCGCACAGTCATCTGGAGGTGAGAGTACATGAATCCATGTCAGATCGAATGCATGTCTAATGCGGTGTGCAACAGAATTCAGTGCTAGGGCCCCGTCCATTCTTGGTCTTCATAAACGATCTAATGAGCCAAACTAAGTCAAACTGTTCACTCTACGCTGATGACATCAAAGTATGCGTGTGACCAGGACTCCAGAAGGCCGTATCAAACTTCAAAACGACCTTGACAAGATTTATGGGTGGTCGTTCTAAAATCGCCTATATTCCATGTGGCTAATTGTCAAGCGCTCCAGTTACGACACCGAATGGTTCACACATATAAGCTGGGGAAGCAGGATCTGAAGCACTGGTATCTCAAAAAGGATCTTGGTGTGCTAGTCCAGGAAGATCTCGGCTGCTCGGAGCAGTCCCAAAATGCATTAAAGAAGGGGACCAAATCGTGGGGCTTTTACGAAGAGCTGTCGGGTAATTCGAATCGTGCATTTTTCGTCAACTTCTTCCCGTTTACATATGCTCTCATGTTTAATATGCAGTTAAAGCGAGATATCATAGCCTTGGAAATTCTGCAACGTCGGGCGACCACAAATGTCAAGGGGATGCGCTACTTGTCAGAAGAACAGCGCCTCGGACTGCTTGCCATTTTCAGCGGACGTTATCGGCCTTTGCGCGGTGAGCCAATCATGGCTTACCAAAATTTTAAACAACACTAATCACCCCTCACTTGTTGAAGCTGAGTCACAGCAACAGACTGTGAGGTCGTCATCTCAAATTAGAAGAACAATACAGTCGGTTGGAGTGTCGAAGAAACTTCTCGCTGAGTGTTTGCCACACGTGGAATACCCGTTCAGAAGCTGTTATTTCAACCCCCCCCCAAGTTGGCCGTGGTCAAAGCACGTGTCGACAGTGCGCTGGCCATACTACACCATATCGCCTAACCCAAACGACCCACACAAATAGCAGAAACAAAACTAATCGACTCATCTCCATTTCTGCCCGGAAAACACAGACGATAAACTTGGATAATACACAAAACCAATTGTGAAATGCTCTGACGGGAACACTGTTACCGGTAGGTTTTCAATTTGCGGTTTTCACTATATCCTATTGCTGTTCTGTCTTCATTTTTTATACCCTCAACCGATCCTCCGGTGACACATGTCAGTCTTCGGCTTTTTTCTTCGCAATATAGCACTGACCAGATATGGATGGCGGCATCCGGTTTCGGATTTGCCTGTCACTGTGGCTAGCCACAGGACGCGTGCGCCTACAGAGGAACCATGGATGGCTTGCGCTGCACCACCCACAGCTCCAACCACACACCCCATATCCAGTGTAAACCCGAAGGAATAAGACCGGGAGGCATGCGGATGGGAGCCACGTTTCATCAACGGAGTCGGCCCACACTCCTTCACAGGCAAATACAAGCACGCTGTATTTGGGGAATCAAGCGCACACAAGGCGATGGCCGGACCGTAGACCGCTCCACACTGAATGTATGGAACCACTCTTCGAGTCTAGCACGACCACAAGGACCGTGCACCCTGTCCCCTCCAGCAACGACCAACTGTCTCCTGGAGCTAGATGGACGAGGTAGTGGGTACTAGACAGGTAGGCACCTTGTCAACATGTACATCAAACGCAGCCACACCTGGGATATCAAACAACAGCCAATCATTCAAAATGCCGGTATCGAATAAACTAAGCGCATATGACGACATAAATACTTGTAAAATGAGCATATGGAAGAAATTGATCAAAGGTGAATACGCGATAAGTACAAAATGTCGGAAAGTTATTTAAAAAATACCACGCGATAAAATTACGCAAGTTTACCACAATTTGCACGAGCAACGTGTGCAAGTTAGGGGAAGATTATTAAGTACGCAGAACAAACCAAAAAAATTAAAGTTTTATCCACATTAAAAAGACCTAATTTAAGTGTAAGTTGGTTTAGCCCAACTGCGGTGAAGAAGCATCATGAATGCAACATTATATATATATATATATATATATATATATATATATATATATATATAACCGACGGAGCTCTCGGAAGGCTGGAGAAAGCCGTTTCCACAGGAATCAGATCGGCAAACTGGGATGGAATCGGACAACGGTACTAGCTACATGCAAATGGCAATTTCGAAATGCACCGATCTCATCATTGTGTGCTTCCAAGAGAATTGCATACCGATAACTTTTAATTCGTTTTAAATGTTCAGGAAATATTGCTTCCAAATGCAATGCAATACCTTGTTCAGATCTCTTTATTCCACCATTCATTATGGCTACCAAGAAAAATGGACACTGAGTGCAGCGTTAGCTTTATCTTTTTCACCATATTCTTAGTTCTGGCTTGCATTGTGCAGGACTAGAATACGCTAGACTACGGCCTGCAAGCTTAAGTTCAATCACGAATTACTTCGGTAACTTTTACCACTGTGATAGCATTCGCAGCTGACTGAGGCTGAACGCAAGGAAATTGTTGAGTTGATATCTACTGGACATGCATTTTCGGGACGATTCCTGGGTGCCCGCTTTCATTTCGATACCGTTCGTTCCTTGACAGTTGATTAAATCCATCAAGTCTTTCAGTTGTTTGGCTGACATGCGTCGGTCTTATTGGATTTTATATCAGGGTCCAATTTCCTCTAGTACTGATTTCTCGGACACACGTGATTGGCCCGTATTTTGGTCGTTCCGCATTCGTCCGCATCATTCATCATCTCCTATGTTGTTGGCCGGCGCGGAGGTTTTAGTAGCTTTGCTTCTACCATCAGTTACCCGATCTAAGCGAAGCGATATTCATATGTTTGCAGTTCTGTCCTGGCTCGCAATTCGTGTTCGCATTGTGGTCGTTCGGTGCAAACGGTTGGCGGCAATACACCTTCCGATGCAAGAGTTTGTAGAAGTTCAGACATCTAAAAAGGGATTCGAAATCCAGGTATACGTAGGTTTTAACTGTTTTGTCGGTAAAATTTACGGGAGTGTGTCATTACAAAGCAGCGTTGCATTTTGTGAGCATTCTCGTCATTCACAAACCGATCTTCATCTCATCACGAGGGGCTCCTTTTTGTAAGTGATTTGGAGCATTTATTTGGTATTGCTGAACATGTTCCAACGTTACTTTAGGCCAAGGGTCGCCAAACTACGACCAGCGAGCCGCATCCGGCCCAACAACTGTACCCGACTTTGTTTGGTAAAGCGTCTAGAAAACGAGAGGTCGCGACATCCTTTACATTTGACAGAGCACGTCGTGTTGTCCGTGACCTCATACTGTTAGAACATTAGCGTGCGCCAGCTCGTTGTTGTTACATGTGATACCATACCACTGTACCATACGTGAGGCAACATCGTTAGAAAATTGGTGGGGGAACAAGCATGAAAACAGTACATTCGTGCACACCTCGGTGTTTCTGTTTATCCCAAAGCTTTAGGCCATAATTTCCAACCGGTCAGCTCCTTGAAGCACGTGAAATATGAAACACCGCCTATTAGGACGCCATTAGTCAGTGTTTGTCACTGTAATGCCATATTTTCTGGCTATCTGAAATGAATTGCAAATTAGTAGTACGGAGATGCTCTGGAAGGGCAAATTAATGAGGTTCGTACAATTAATTAATGCCAAATGTATGTACGTAGCACGGGTATACAGTTCCAACACTGTTCGGTAATTTGGATCTGCCAGAAACGCTTGCTTAATATTTCCAAGCTTTTAGCCGCTTACATATATATATATATATATATATATATATATATATATATATATATGGTCTTTTTCCGCTGGATAAATTTCTTTTCACTTTATTTGATCTGTTCTGCCTAGCTGAATAATCTTCTACTAACTTGCATGCGTTGGTTATGCTAATTGTGATTATCTTCGTTAACTTTATGGCGTTTGTGGCATTTTTGAATAACTTCGGACATTTTGTATTTATCGCGGATTCGTTGCTAACCAACTTGCTTCATAGGCTAATTTAGCCGCTAGTTATGTCTGCATAGCCGTATGTCTTGACAGATATATTTTATTTGATAATGTTATTTCAAGTGATTGGCTATTGTTTGAAATCCCCGATGTGGCTGCGCTTGATGTACATGTTGACAAGGTGCCTACCTGTCTATTACCCACTACCTCATCCATGCTGACTAGGAGACAGTTGGTCGTTGCTGGAGGGGACAGGGTGCACGGTCCTTGTGGTCGTGCTAGCCTCGAAGAGTGGTTCCATACATTCAGTGTGGAGCGGTCTACGGTCCAGCCACCGCCTTCTGTGCGCTTGATTCCCCAAATACAGTGTGCTTGTGTTTGCCTGTGAAGGCGTGTGGGCCGACTCCGTTGATGAAACCTGGCTCCCATCCGCATGCCTCCCGGTCTTATTCCTTTGGGTTTATACTGGATATGGGGTGTGTGGTTGGAGCTGTGGGTGGTGCAGCGCAAGCCATCCATGGTTCCTCTGTAGGCGCACGCGTCCTGTGGCTGGTCACAGTGACAGGCAAATCCGAAACTGGATGCTGTCCACCATATAAGAGCCCTTGGGTTCTCCCCAAAACTGGCATGCCATAATGTGCGCACTTTGTCGCAGACTGGCCAACAGGCAGCATTTGTCCGGACACTGGAGAACCTACTAATCGATGTCTGCTACTTGTCAGAAACTCTCCTGGAAGAGTTAAGCTCTATGATTACCCTCCGATCCCCAACGTGCGATATGGGTTGGGCGGTATGTGCTCGTTGCGTTTTTTCGGAAGTGAAGCGGCTTCAAATGCTGGTCAAACCGGTGTGGGCGTTGATCTTAGCCCCTGGGCTGAAGCTGCCTTGATCGACTGGATCCCAATAAACAATCGGATGTGCCTTGTCAGATTGGCTAGCCCGTTCAAACCATCGAGGTTTCGTGGGGACAAATGGTGCTTGTGTGTCACTGAGGCTTATACGTCCACAAATTGTAGAGGTGACTCGGTGAAAGACGACTTATATCACCGATGAAACGCGCTCCTCTGTCACAGAAAAAGTACGGATACTGTGGTACTTGCTTATGATTTGAACGCCCCAGTCGGAAAACGGTCCACTGATGAGCTTCATCTGGGCGGTCAGCATGGTGGAGGTTCCCGTAATGATAACGGTGAGCGGTTGCTACACCACGGTAAAGATGCTCGTCTCTCTTTTGCAAGCACTAATTACCGACACGGCAAGCGCCGGAGGATGACATGGCGCTCACTAGTCTCGGACCAGCCATGGATGCAAATCGATCACATCGCGTTCACTTGCCGTGGGAGAGAATACGTGCAAAACTGTCGCGCGATTAGGAGCATGAGCGTGGACTCTGAGCACGCACTTGTTTGCGCCGGCCTCCGAGTGCGTTTCGACGGACGTCCGCAACGGCGCTGTGAAGGCATGGAAATTTGCCAGCTGGCGAAGCCAGATGTTCTGAATGTGTATCAAAGTACGCTGCAATCTGAGCTGAGTAAACGCCCTTGGAACGCAGTTGAAAGTCATTGGTCGCATATCCACCAGACTTTATTAGCAGCAGGCATGTCTTCATGTGCTAAATCAAATTGCCAACTTGAACATTGGGTCTCTATACAGTCCCTGGAACTTATGGATGCTCGCCGACGTGTTCCGACTGGAAGTGAATACAATGAAACTCGCAAAGTACTCAGCGAAACTACGTGCTACCCTGAGGAGAGAATGCGAAGCGGAGTGGTCTCATCTTCATTAGGTCTACTTTGCTTAGTGTCTTACTTTTTGTATTGCGGCACATTAGCTGTGGTGTGTTTCTTACCCTTGGCTAACGTGTATTTGTTATACATATATATATTGCGAACATTTTTATCCTATAACCAATGATCTGCACCTGTTCCTCTGACGAACCGTAGTTTCGTCAACGACCATTAGTCCTCGGTTTTCCTGTTTCAATAGGTTTTTTATTTCAGCCTTCACTAAGGCAACTAGGAAAAAAAGACATTACACCGAGTGTGGCGTTTGATTTGTCGTTTTTTCCTATTTTTCTTTCTGCCTTGCGAGTACATTGCATAATGCTTATGCGGCCCACGCTAATCATTCCGTCAGTTAACCATCCGGCCGTGAAAAACGCTTGATGTTCGCTACTTTAGGCTGTGATGATATACCACGAAAAATATGAAGGAAGAAAAAGTGGTCCGGGGAACGATGACATTGATGGTCCACACTGTTACACACCAAGAAAATTAAGGAGATCCTCGATCTCTCAGCAGTAGAGACCTGTTACTGAGAGGGACATAACAAAAGCACTTCTAAACGATAGTACACACCCACTATTGGACGCAAAATCTCTTCAATAACAATGGTGTAAATTTGATTTGAATATCAAATAGGCATTTTCTAAACCTCTGCTAGATTTGTACTAAGCTAAACTAGAGTTGTCTAAAATTCAAGTCTGTAAATAGAGAAAAGCGGTCTATTATGCAGTGATACTAAATGGTTGCTTTACCACTGTTGGTGTTCCAAAACCGAGGCAATGACATTATGCAAAATATCCTTTAAACGGCAAACTAACAAAAGAATCCAACCGAAGAAGGGTGCAACATCCGATCGAACTCGGAAACATAGCCATAGGAGAATGGAATCGTACTGCGGGCGATGAGCGCAAGCGGCTAACAGTGTAAGCCGGCGTTGTGTTAATAGCCACTGCTGGAGCAAGTTGACGAAAGCAAGGTCCAAAGGACGGACTAAAAGATAACTAGTAACCTCAGCGCGAGACCAACGCATATGTGCACACGGATTACGCAGCGGTGACTGGCTTAAGGTGTATAAGAAGGCATAGTGACAAATTAATAACAGCTAACTTTGGATGAACTAAAGGGTTCGATTGCGCACCACGAAAACTTACACAGGTAGTTGTTTTCATCCGAGTGGTCAACGCAATTATTCACACCGTCACAAGTCAAACTCTCCGGAATACATTTGCTGCGATCGTCCCAACAGCGGAATGTTCCAGTAGGACAACTGAACGAAGGGCCGACGACTGCATGTGAAACAGTGAGATGGGTCATTGTGCATCAGAACCAGAAGTGAGGCAGCAAAGTGACATGTAAAACGGCTTTCTGTCAGCGTACCAATAAAAACAAAAACGTAATGCTGCGAAGTTAAATGGCTGTGCCATGGTCATCCGAATACACTCGTGCTACTGAGTCATTTGGATTATTCCCCTCTATCCTCTCTCTCCATTTTCTCACAGCGTAGTCACTGTACACACATTCGAACCAAACTTACCAGTCCTACACAGTGATCCATCAAACTTGGAATTACCTTCTACCATTGAAGTCCGTACCATCAACAACCGTTTTACATTTCATCCGTGAGTAAGCGCAAGCGGATAACTCAATCACATTGAGCCGATTGCCCTTCGGTGTGCCATCATTCGATACAGAATTCTCGAGGCTGTTCGAAAAGCCTAAGCTTATACCCATCCGGCGTTTCTAAACGCAGCTGCGAAAGAACGTGCTCTCTCAATCTGTGTTCATCACTGTGTTTGGATTCAGCAAGCAGGTTCCAGTCGCTCGACATCCTTGTGAGCTTGTCAGCCAGTGCGCCTGCATAACTCATCACACGAACCGCGCGACCACACCGAGCGTACATTTGACCTTGCAAACATTACGCTCGCCTGACCGATGTGCGCCACTCTCAAAGCTGGAAAAGTACACAACACCAACACCAACCAACTCCCTGGGTCAGGTAAGGACACCAGGTTGAATGGCAGAAATGCGTATCCGAAAAGGCTCCAAGGGAAAAGTATTTGCGGGTTGGGAGACTGTCATCGAACAGTGTGGTTGTCACGTTACTCCCTACTCTAGTCGCTATTGATTAGTCGTGAACCATATACCCACTTAACGGTCATTGGACGAATGCGTGGTTGCTACTGATTGACTTGTGTGAAGGGTTTAAGAGTTATTAGCGTTGTTGGTGTTGCTTGTGTCCTTACACGCGTTTAGTCTACTGAGGTCCTGTTCTGCTTTCATGGACACAACAAATTGGCATCGCGGGCTACCAAGGTCTCTACACAACACAGCCCCTCCTCGATTCTGGACGGATCCGGCCATCACCCAAAAGGCAGAATGTTGGGAGGATTGGAAAATTACTTTTTCGGATTACATTTCGGTTCTGCTGATCCTGAACACATCAGTGATTTTAAAGCAAGTAGATAGTTTAAAGCTCCTTTGGCTGCATCTCGGTTCTGGAGGTCGACGTATATTTGATGCCCTGAATGCGAGAAGCCCACTCTGAAGAATGCATTCGTGACTCTCGATAAGCATTGGGGAATGCGTATGAACACATACAATTCCCGCTCCAAATTCCCCCAGATGAAGCAAACACCCGGCGAGCATTTGGACAACTTCACTTCCCGTTCTGCCTGTTCTCTGCGAAAGTGTGATCATGACAATATTCTCAAGGAGAAGCTAGGAGAAACGACACTTATACAGCAACTGATCTCCAGCCTGTTTGATTCTAGGATCAGAGAAAGCCTGTTAATGAAGGACGCTGACAAGCTCTCATGGGATAAGACATGCGACATAGCTTGTGCAAAGGTAGGTTAGTGGACAAAATAAAAATTTTCTTTCCATCGCCTCGTCTACTGAGATCGAATGCTTGAACTCTTCACCATCTGTTACGATATCCCCAAGTGGGAGCAAGTGTTACGGCGGTGAGAAGGCCGAATATCGCGCAAATAGTCAAGTACGTCCAGCCAGGAAAGCGATTTGTCGGAGGTGCGGGAAGTCCAGACATTTTGCTAGTCTGATCCTGCTGCAACTAACTTTTCGGCCTCCCTGGCCAACCCTGAGCAGACGATCTTTGACATTTGTGAGGATAAATGTTCAATTTCTTGTTCTACTAAGGAGACCACGTTGCCTTCCCCAGATATTCGCACTATGTTTCTTTAAGTGTATAGTAAAGCTTTCGTTTAGATATTAAACTAGCTTCTGCTTCACTCATTACAATAGTTTCATACAACTTTTACAAACAGTTTTTCTGTCATCTACCTGTGCATCAATCAGTGTACACTTTCAGTAGCTATTCCAATGGCCCCGTTCAAAGTTTTGGTCTCGTTACAGTTCCAGCATTACTTAAAAATAGTAAAAAGTGTGCAGTTGAAATCTACGTTTCTAAGACCGACTGTAAGCCCCTGCTGGGACAGAACGCCATGGTTTTATTAAATGTGTCACCCAACACCCACCAAACAACAATTGCCGATGTCAATCCCAGTTCAATTCATTCTAGCTACTCAAATCTTTTTCGTTTGGATATCGGCAAAGTTCCAAAGGGAATGCATCGCATTCCTTTGGCGGCAGATTATAGGCTATTTAGTATTTCGCAACCTAAGCCCGTACCACTGGCAAAACGTGAGGCTTTGTCAAAAGCTTTGAAACAAATGGTTAACAACGAATGGATAGAACAGATACAGTGCTCTGAGTGGGTTCATCCTCCTGTTGCAGTGCAAAAGAAAGATGAAGCTGCACGCGTGTGTACTGATATTCGAATGCTTAACAAGCACATAATTGTAGATAAATTCCCACTTCCTTCTACCGATGAGCTGATGGCCAGGCTCTCCAACGCTAGATTATTCTCGAAACTAGACATTCGTAGTGCATACCACCACCATACCACATCACACTGAAGGTGTCTATACAAGTCATTCAGCTCTCGGGAGAACTTTGGGAGGATACATTGGTCTCAGCTCTGACCACATACAGAATCATAACACATAGAGCAACGACCAAAACTCCATCAGAACTGATGTTGAGAAGAATACTTCGAACCCGATGAAATGCAGCCTGTAAATTCCAAGAAACTACAACCATACTGAATATGCAAGAGGAGCTGATTATCAATCTAAACAAAGACGACTAGAAAAACTTGTCCTCCAGGGACCCTAGTTCGTGTGAAATTACCCAGTTCCCGGAAAGGAGATAATAAATTCTGACCTACACTAGTGGAAACTGTGTACTAGAGGGATATACAAACTGGCGTGTTGTGTTTCCGCTGACAGTACGGATAATCGATGCAGCCACTCTGGTCACGATACAGCCACTTCCAAAACAGAAGACAAAGACATCTAACGGAACGTGCATGCTGCACACGGAAGACAGAATGTGCAGCCAAAATATTAGGTCGAAAGAAAGAGTTCATGAGAGAAAAGACATAACTGAAAGTTCCTGACTATAGCAACTACTAGATGCGCAAAAACTCGCTTGTTGGCTGAGCAAGTAGTTTGCTTACGGGAGGGCTTCAACGTACGTCATTCCGATTGGTTCACCTCTAGGTAAAACGATGCCATTAGCTTAGTACCATTGGTTTACCAATCGGCTGCAGGCGACATACAACCAATCTTCTCCGGGATGCTCCAGACAGAGAGAGAGAGAGCTAGCTTCGATGGCTGCTATGGACGGGCTCCAGTAACATGGCAGAGTGAACGCGAGTTACTGAGAGACATTTGCATACGACATCATCTCAAAGTACTTCACCACGAGCCACAACATCTACTACAGAAACATCACGAGCAGCAGAAAGCCTACGAGTGTCAATCCGGATGCGTCACCCTGTCGGTCGGTATGTTTTGATGGGCAACACAACGTGATGTCCGCCCCATGTGTCTTTTCTTTACGGTTTTATGCAAGCAACCGTTTAAACACTGACACGAAGTGCCTACATAGTTACAAAGAAAGGAAGGGAAAGTTTGGTGTTATCACATTACTCCCTACTCTTTCTGGTTGCTGTTGATTGGTCGTGAAGCCTATATCCACTTAACGGTCATTAGACAAATGTATGCTTGCTACTGATTGGGTTGTGTGAATGGTTTGAGTCATAACCGTTGATATGTATTGAATGTTTCCATACATCCGTTTAGTCTACTGAGTTCCTGTACTGCTTTCAAAGACACAACAATTAATTAAAATAGGTTTGCGCCGCTCGCATTGCTTGAAATGGTATCATCCGAAATGTGCAAACTTGTCCCAAAACAGGTACGTGAGGGTAATAGTTCACAAGATGGGCTTTGGTTCTTTACTGCATGCTAAATCATGCCACTGGTGTAGGGTTTGCTTATCCTAGTCCAGAATTGTGACAGGTCAACCGCAGAAGCCGAGCAAAAGATTAACGATAAGATTACTACAATGAAAGCGAGCATGCACCAGGGAAACGTAGCTGCCTCTGAGCAACGGACTGCTGTACAAGCTGCTTCCCCTTAACCGCAATCAGCCACGTTCTCACCTCCGTTGTCTTCTCCAACTTTGGTAGAACGCCGCGCGAAAACTGGATGTAGCTACAAGAGTCAAGCAGCACACATGATAACAAAAATCAGGCACCACTTGAAACATCTGGTTAAGCAAATTCTGCTAGACCTTACACCTAGCATTAACAAGGATGAAACAGCCGACCAATAACCCTCGGTATCTGTAGCACAAAGGTCTTTTGTCGAGACAAAGCCCTGGGACATCAATTACATATACAGAGAGATACAAAGGTCAGCCAGGAGGTCGCCGTTGCGGCCGCTTCTGTTGTAAACACCGTTAACGCGAACGGAGGGACAAACAGTAAAAAATCAACACATGTCACCAGGTCAGGACAAACAATTACCCTACCTTGTAGATCAAGGAAAATGGGATCCAACAATAGTGCCCTGACTGTTGTGTGCTCAAAGGTCCCTGAATCTACTGCCATCGCATTGCGCAGTAAGTTTTGGGGCAAACAAGGCCAATGGAACCAATGGGTGTCAAAGTCAAATCCATAAACCTATTACGAATTACTCCTCATCCGAACCCACCACATTACGGAAAAAGCAGACCTCTTCGAGTAACACTAGAATCTTCCACAGATGTAAAAAAAGACGTTTTATTCTTCGCAAGAGCACTAAGACATTGGTCCTTTAGGATAAGTATCTATCTTGATATCCCTTGGAGCGCGCAACAACCAAAACGAAACACTGAAGAGGGGCACAGCAAGCAAGACCGCCTAAACACAATCTTCATA